GTTGCGATGAGGCAGGTAATGTGGTGGGGCAGTTTGGCTTGAGCAGTCTGTTGATGGTGGAGAAAAGATGTCTGGGGTTGTTTTGGTGATTTTCAATGATGTGAGAGTAGGTGGATCTAGCAGACTCTGTAGTAACCTTATATTCAGACAAGTAATCTCTCCAAACCTGATAATGTACATTTAGGCCAGATAGACACCACCTACGCTCAAGTTTGTGAGAGCCGGCCTTCATGGATCACAGATGGTCGTTGTACCGGGGGCAGGGCGAGAGAAGGAGATGGTTTGAGTTTTTAAAGGAGCAAAGGTGTCGAGGGCAGATAAAAGAGCACTGTCAAGTAACTGTATTTTGTCCTCTAGAGGGTCAGAGGAAGAGAAATAAGATAAGGAGGACAGAACAGAATTTGAAAACCTTGGGTGATCAATTGATTACGGAAATTGACAGAGCGTGAGGGGGAAGTGTTAGAAACAGGTAATTCCAGATTGAAATGAATAGCTAAGTGGTCAGAGAGGCCTAGATCAAGGGGAGAACAGTGGGAGACAAAAGAGTCATTTGCAATAATAGTTAACATATTTTTCTTTTTTTGTCGTCGCATTTTTTTTCCGATTTCTTCCACCAATAAAAAAACCATTCACTCGTCATTAAAATATTCACTTAAAAAAAATGTGTATATCATTTGTGATTTGTCACATCACTGGTTGGAGTATATCAATGATCCAGCTTCTGGTTCAGTTAATAAACTAGTTGCTCAATGTCAGATGTCCTTGGTGGAATGACCCAGCAGGCACTGTGCCAACAATCTCTTCCAGGTCAAAGGCATCACCTTGCCCCTCACCCTCAGTGACTTCTGGATTCTGTTCTGCCCACTCCATCTCAACCCCGGTCTTGAAGTGTACAATTCATCTATTTTTATACCTTAAGTGGTCTGATTTTGTATTTTATTTGATCAAAAGTAGCTCTTTTTCAGTCTTAGTTTACAAAAGAACACAGCCACAGAATTTTCCCCAAGATTTGATTCTTAGAAGCTGTGAAATACACCCATGCTGTTGGTCCAAGGACGTGTCAGGTGACCACTGGCGGCCAAAGCCTACAACCGCACCCTGCGCAGTTTCGCTTCTAAGAAGTTATGGTGGCGTGTGCACCCTCTTGTGGTTCCATGCAAAACTGCACCAGCTGCATCGAGTACATTTTCTCAACAGGGTGCCATGATGTACACAACTGTCTGTAACATTGTTCTCATCAAGCACTGGAAGCTGGCAAGCTCATCCAGCCACCCAGGAAGGTGCAGTTAGAGCTCACGATTTGCGTTTCACCATAAGAATTGTGTACATTGATACGGAAATGAGCATGGTCAGTTTGTTGTGAAATTGAGGGAGGGCCAAGACTCACTCACCTGTCAGTGTGTGTGTGTGTGTGTGTGTGTGTGTGTGTGTGTCAGCCTGTGTTTTACAGCTGCCCTGCTCTTTGTCCTGTGCAGGCGGGGGGGGTGGGGGAGGGTGCGAAGTTCACTCTGTGCCGAGTGAGGAGGGGAGACCAGTCAGGACAGGCGGACAGGCGGACGGGCTGTGGCTCCGGCGCTCCGGCACACACAGGAACCAGCCCCGCGGCCGGCGATGGCAGCAAGGCTGACAGGCTTGCAGGAGCAGCTGGTCTGGGCCCTGCTGGGGTCCGGGCTGTCGCGGGACATCCTGATCCAGGCGGCCGAGGAGCTGGAGCAGGCCGGGGGGGGGCTGGGGGCCGAGGCGGGCGACAGGGGCGCTGTGGAGGGGGAGGGCGACAGCTCAGAGGAGGGAGAGGAGGAGTTTGCCCCCCCCATCTTCAAAGAGCTGGAGAGCCTGAGTCCTGAGGAGGCAGCAAGGCAGAGGGCAGAGGTGGAGCACCTGCTACAGTAAGAGCCCCGCTCCTTTCACTCTCTCCTCTCTCCTCTCTCCTCTCT